CACTATATATGATTACTATTAATGATATACTATATATGATTACTATTAATGGTAACACTATATATGATTACTATTAATGGTATACTATATATGATTACTATCATTGGTATACTCAAATTCTTAAAAAGTTTAAAATTCACAAAAAATAACCTTTGTATTCATATTTTAAAATCGTGTTGATAAGCAAAAAATATCAACATTTCATTGCAGTTTTAAACATATTTATTTTACTTATAAGAAAACAATTCTTAGAAAAATGATGCAGTTATTTGACAGATGTAGATATAAATCTATTTGTTTCTATTTTTCTATGAAATATTTTACATGAAGACTAATTTTTGCTTATCAATTATGAAGAAACAAGGTATGAATAATTCATAGCGGTGTTCTAATTTTGGTGAGTTTGTGTTTGTTTGATTGAATATTGAGAAATCTTGAATTATTACAACAAAACTTAAAACATTATATAGAGTGTTTTTCCTTGAAAGGACAGCTTCTATTTGCAATCTGTATCTTTATTATAAATTCAGGTGGTTAAGGCCTATGACCTTGAAGATGAATGTCAAGTTGCCATAAAAATTATTAAGAACAAAAAACCTTTCCTGAATCAAGCTCAGATTGAGGTCAAACTCCTGGAGACAATGAACAACTATGAAGGAAAGGGAACTTACTGTCAGATGGGAAAAGATAAAATAAGTAATTTCAAAAACACTTTTTCAAAATAATTTTGCTTCCAATCAGTACCCGTGTAGAAATCTTAATATAGAATAATTTTTTGGAATGTGTATTTTGAAATATTTCTTTACTCTAAAAGTATAGGTATAGACTTCTAGATACTTAGGATGCCACCAGAGTTTTAAACCAGTATATTACTGCATAGTTAGTAAATGTATTGTGTTTTTTAGAATTTCGCACAAAGCTACGTGTGGCTACTTGCACGTATCCATCCTTAATTTTCGTTGATAGACTAGAGGGAAGGCAGCTAGTTGACATCATCACCTTCTAACCCATGGGCTCTTTGTGTTTGATTAAAAAAGTAGATATGACTGTCACACTTATAGCACACCTTAGGTCGTAACATATAGCATTATTTTTTTTATTTTTTTTTTGTTTATAGCAATGGATCACAAACCATGAATTCTCTGACTTACAATTCAGGCATTCACTCACTAGGTCATGTCTGATTCTGTAATATACAAATTTGACAAAGCAAGTTCAGTACCAAAATGTTAACAGAAAATGAGTCTATCCCCTTGATACTGTTGTTCCTCATGTTATTTCCATAGTTCTATTAAACGTGAAAGGTGGATATGTTAAAGTATTTCCTTTGCTTACCTACTAATTGATTTTGGATCTTCTCTGTCACTCCTGCAAGAATTCAAGTTGATATATATATATATTTACATATTCTGTACAAAATAATGACCATTTACAGTTCTCTTGCTAATATGAGTTCTAAAAAGAATATATATATATATCTCATAATTAAATAGAGGAGTAGTGACTTGTATTGCATAGAATATTGTAATATAGTGCTCTGTTTTAAATTATCTAATATATGCAAGTGGAGGTCTTATGTAGCGTAATGGACGAGTCCATCATATCTGTTGATGGCATTGTTTTATTATAAGAAATCATACTTGTTGCATGCTGTTATGTTTGTTGTGTGGAAATTACCCTGTAAATGGTATTGAATGTTCTTACTGTTTTTCAAAGTTTATTGTTTTAAAAATATCTCAGTGCTGTTTTGGGGTTTTCAAAATTATTTCCAAAAAGATACAACTATACCTTAACCTATGTTAATAAAATTGTTTTTGTTGGAGGGTTCTGAATTTGTTTATTAGTTAAATATTTTTTTAAATGTAGATTTGGGTCAGAGTGCTTATTAATTCAATATATAATATTCAATTTCATGCAAAGTTAGTTTTGACAGTACTCATAAGATGGCACTACATAAAGTAAACATGTACTGAATGTTGCAGAAAATGCTTTGTAGTAGTCAATATAACAGTAGAATCGGATTTAGCAGATTTATTTGCAAACAATAGCGTATCTTAAATATGCAGTCTTCACTAAAGATTTGAAAATGTTGAGTATGTATTTATACATAGGTTATTCACACTGGTGGGAGCAACTGGTCACTTTAATGGCAATTTGATGTTTTAAAAATGCAAACTTACTAATCAACATGAATTATGAAATTGAAAAAAAAAAACAGTGAGACAATTATTGTTTGTAATAGCAGTAGTGTGTTTGTAACTATTCTATACAAGAGTTTTTATTTTAATGAGCCCTTTGAAAATTTAAACACAATTTTTGTTAAGTTCATGTGTTTAACTGTATGATGTAATAATTGATAATGACAGTTTTAAGTAAGGTTTTTTGGATTTTTTCTCTGTGATACAGTAAGTAGAAATCATATTAATATCATTACAAATACTGTTATAAACAAGATGATTTATTTAAGCCACCAAATGTTGTAAATTTATTATCCTGTTTTTTAGGCTTAACAAAGAAGTGAAACATGATTGAAGTTTGGTTATTAGGGTGCTAGATTCGTAATTTATGGGTTTAGTGATCGAAACCTATCACCAAACATGCTCACCTCTTCAGCTATAGTGGTGTTATGTGATGTTTAATCTCACTATTCCTTCTTAAAGAGTAGCCCAAGAGTTGGTGGTACGTAATGTTGGTTAACAGGCTTACTGCTGATCTGTCACTTGAAAACTAGGAACATCCAGTGTAGATAGACCTTGAGTAGCTGTGCGAGAAATCAAACATACAATACATATTATTTCTTATCATTTTTTTTAATGTTCTGTGGTAAAAAATGAGCAAATAACAAACACAAAATTTTCTGGTTAACGTAAATACAAACCTAAAAACTTAAATCACGTTCACCTTAGAATTTGTATTGTCTAAAAAAATTTCCATAAAATTATTTTGACTTTTACCTGCCCCACAGTGGCACAGCTGTATGTCTCTGGACTTACAATGCTCGAAACATGGTTTCAATACCCATGGTGTGCAGAGCACAGATAGCCCATTATGTAGCTTTGTGCTTAACTTTATTTGAATATAATATATTTTGTAATGCTGCCTCTAATATTGCAAAATTTTCATTGTTTCATACAAAGCAATTCTGTTGGTTTTTGGTGGTAAACTTGTATTTATTTATTTTACTATGTTATAAATGAATAAATCTGTATTTTATACATAAATATGCATATAATAAATAATTAGTAGTTTTTCCCAGTTATGTACTTTAAACATATCATAAAATTTAATATTTTTAGAAGGCCAGAGCCTCACAGTGGCTGAGTGGTAAGTCTGAAGGCCAGAGTCTCACAGTGGCTGAGTGGTAAGTCTCAAGGCTTATAAAGCAAAAAATTGGTTTCAATATCTGCTGTCGGCAGAATAGCCAATTGTGTAATATTGAGCTTAACAACAAACTAGAAAGCAAGTTTTATTTTCAATAATTTATATGACTGTTTTATATCTTTTTTTTTTCACACCAGTAAAACTCAAAGATAATTTCATTTGGAGAAATCATCTGTGTCTGGTTTTTCCACTTCTCTCCTACAACTTGTATGATCTCTTGAGAAACACAAATTTCCATGGAGTGTCTCTAAACCTCACCCGCAAGTTTGCTCAGCAGTTGTGCACAGCTCTAGTGTTTCTTTCCAATGTTGACCTTAACATCATTCACTGTGACTTGAAGCCTGAAAACATCCTATTGTGTAATCCAAAACATAGTGCCATCAAGATAATTGATTTTGGCAGCTCATGTCAACTGGGACAGAGAGTAAGAAAAGACATTTTTGGATTTCAAAAAAGATTATGTATTAAAATAAGACACTACATAAATTTTATGAATATATATAATAACTATTTCTCCTATTAATATTATTTTAGCTTAATCCCCAAATTACTGATTACTTGAGATATTATTCATACCAGTGGGGTCTGCATATTATATCCTATTGAGTAATTGTGTGTTTTTGCTTACTATGATACTCAGTTTATGGAACTGTCCGAGAAATTGAGTGAAATTAATCGTTTTCTGTGTACATAGGGAATGTCTGGAGTAATTAGTGAGATAAACTGTTATGTTGATGGTATTTTTGTGTGACTCGTATCTTATATAGATATCCAAGAAAGTGTGTTAAAGTATCTGACACTATCCTCATGGACTTTATCAGTAATTTTAGGGTTAATACAAATATTTTCTATACATGCTGAATTCAGAAAAGGCAATAAAAAAATGTTTTACCAATGAAATCAAATAATATTTTTTCATTGCATATCTTCCTGTTTATTCTTCTTGTGTTCATTAATGATGTTTGTGCATCTTTTCTTTAGATATATCAGTACATCCAAAGTAGATTTTATCGTTCACCGGAGGTTCTTCTTGGCATACCATATGATATGGCTATTGACATGTGGAGCCTGGGCTGCATCTTAGTAGAACTACATACAGGAGAACCCTTATTTAGTGGATCTAATGAGGTTAGTTTATAATATCAATGGAGTATGAGCTGCATCTTAGTAGAACTACATACAGGAGAACCCTTATTTAGTGGATCTAATGAGGTTAGTTTATAATATCAATGGAGTATGAGCTGCATCTTAGTAGAACTACATACAGGAGAACCCTTATTTAGTGGATCTAATGAGGTTAGTTTATAATATCAATGGAGTATGAGCTGCATCTTAGTAGAACTTACATACAGGAGAACCCTTGTTTAATGGAGCTAATGAGGTTAGTGTACAATAGTAAGTGGAGTATGGACTGTATCATATTAGAACTACATACAGGAGAACTCTTGTTTAATGGAGCTAATGAGGTTAATGTACACTATTAGTGGAGTGTGGGTTACATCTTGGTAGAACTCCATAAAAGAGAAATCTTGTTTGGTGGAGTTAATGAGGTTATTGTGTAATATTAGTGGAGTATAGATTGCATCTTAGTAGAACTACGCACAGGAGAACCCTTGTTATCGAGCAGAAAATGTTTTAATCCAATCAAAATATAAATTAATAAAATTTGGCTGTTCTTTTGAGGAGTACTGCAATTTTTATTTTTACATCAAAAAATAATTAATTTGCCAAATTGAAATATATTAGCCATAATTCATATATAGTAAACAAAAATATTCATAAAAATTTGTGTTAACACCAATAAGAAGGAGCTTCTTATTACACCAGTTTCCAATTAATAAGGGTATTTTTACTTAAATAAAGCAATGATTATTAGGTATTTGTCGCAGGATAAAGTAATAAAATATGTGTTTGAAATTACGTACTCAATATTTATAGGTAATTACTTCACAATTATAATATAATTAATATAATACAGTGTAAGTGTGAGTTTGTTAATGTCATTTTTACCCTAAAAAAACAGAAAATAATTAATACTTTTGAGGAAAATCCTGGAAACATGTGGAGAAAATAAAGGAAATATAATAAATTATCTACTTGAATTCATTGGAAATTAATCAGGACCATAATAAAAAGTATCAGCAGAAATTAGAATCATTATCCTTTTTAAATTTTTAATTGAATTTAAATGAAAAACATGTCTGTTTACACGTGCAGTAATGTCTTGGTGACACGATCACCATTATGGGTTAATGGAAGGTACACATTATTCTGTTTGCCACCTTAAGTGATAAGTGATACAAATACAAAAAGGAAAACTGGAAACTTGATATAGGCTTATGATCAAAACGGTAATGTATTCAATGTTTTTGTTTGAGCAGAGAAGGTTTTCATTGTGCAATTTTATTAAAAATACCACAGAAAGTTTCTTTTATTCTACAGTATGTCTGCAGATTCACAAGACTCGAAACTGGATTTAGATACCCATGGTGGGCAGAGCACAGATAGCCCATTGTGTAGCCTTGTGCTTAAGTTCAAACAAACAAATTGTTTTACAATGTTTTCTTTATGGAAGTTATAGCACAAATCACTTTAAAAAATAAATCATCACTGTATGGCAAGCTCTTGAGATTTGTAATTTTCTGGATGTGAACCTTAATGTCTTATAGTATTGATATGTTGTCCTTATATTATATTTCCCGATAGATTTCTTAGTTTTTTTTTAAAAGCCATATATGTGCAAGTGGACCATGCTCTTTGGTTGATGCTGAGCATGGATGTAGTTTAGACTGGATGGGCAAGACCAAGACTGAGTCTGTCAAGACCATGATCAAGATTGAGATTAATATATTTTTTATGCAACCAAAAATTGAAAAAGAAAACTTATCATTATTGTTGTAGCTTTTGTTTTTATTCAGAAATGTTATTTAGATTATAAAGTTCATTACATAAAAACTATATTGATCTCGATCTTGGTTTTGGTCTTGCTCACCTGGTCTTGACCACATCTCTGAGAAGAAGTTACATATTCTAGAGTTGTACAATGAATGACGTAGATGATATGTGTCGAACTGTAAGAAATGGGATGTTAAATATCATGAATGACTCTACCAATCGTCTAGACTTGATGAGTTCGGATCCCTGTCACACCAAACGTGCTTGCTCGTTCAGCCATGGAGACATTATAATGTGACAGTCAATCCCACTATTCATTGATAAAAGAGTAGCCCAAAAGTTGGTGGTGAGTGATGATGACTAGCTGCCTTCCCTCTAGTCTTACACTGCTAAATTAGGGATGCCTAGCACAGATAGCCCTCGTGTAGCTATGCGGGAAATTTAAAAAATAACAAAAAAACTACACTTGATGGTTGTTATAAAATTCATTTCAAATTAATGACATAATTTCCAAACATTGTGTGTAATAATTCGTTGATAAAAGAGTAGCCCAAGAGTTGGCCGTGGGTGGTGATGACTAGCTGCCTTCCCTCTGGTCTTACACTGCTAAATTAGGGACAGCTAGTGCAGATAGCCCTCATGTAGCTATGCACGAAATTTATAAAAAAAACAAAAACAAATTAGACTTGATGGTTGTTATAAAATTCATTTCAAATTAATTTCAAATGACATAATTTCCAAACATTGTGTGTAATAAAACAGAAGATGAACAGAACTCGCATCTAGTTGTAATTATTAATTAGCTATTTTTCATGTAGAATGTTTTTGTAAGTAATATACAAGGCTAGGAAGTTTTTACGATTGCTTTTATTTTCAAAACATAACATTAAGGCTGCTTAATCAACTCTTGCTGAAAAAGTAAAAAAAAAATTACATTTCTTAACAAAATGGCTAAATAAAAATAAATAATTCTTAAATTATTTAACTGACAGTTAATCTTCATGACTAAGTTGTGTGGAAAATCTAAGCTTTCAGATTTATATATTTATCCAAAGTAGGCTTAGATATTGAAATAATTATCTTGTTAAATATCTTCCTTCTTTATGTTATGCCAAGCTTAAGTTCTTTACTATATAATCTCAGCTCTTATTTTTATATTTAATCATCAATCTTATTCAGAGTTTCTTTGAGCAATATAACAAGGTTTATTATTGTTACTTATCTGCTTGTTTATTTGTTTCCGGTAGAAATTCTTTCAGAGGATCTTCAGCAATACAAGTCTTTTCTTGATTAAACCAGTTTATTCTTCCTTGATACAATCTTTTAGTACACAGTAGTTCCACAATCAGTATATTTCTCATCACTTTAAACTTAACAACTTCTATAATACACGCTATAAATCACAGAGGTTCACAAACTCGATAACTTCACTCTTGATGAGTGCAAAACACACTTTTGACTCACTAGCTCAAAACTAACAGAATTATAAACTACATGGAACTCAAAGTAACTACTTCTGTCTCTTCATTCATTCATATATCCCCCCTGGCGTCCTCTGCCATGCTTATATACTAACCAAGAGGGCATCTCGAGCACACTCAGACTTCCCTGATCATTCAAGAAACTCATCAGCGTCATGTGACTTCTGCTGTCATAACATTATGTCTTCATTCAAAACTATCTTTTGAACTATTATTTCCAGTTTTTTGAATTTTTTATAACAAATTTATATACTTTAAGAAAAAAATTATTTGAAAGTTTGTTATTTTGTAGATGGATCAGATGAACAAGATTGTTGAAGTACTTGGAATACCTCCTAGGCACATGCTTGATCAAGCCCACAAAGCTCGTAAATATTTTGACAAATTAACAGATGGGACATACATCCTAAAGAAACCACGAGAACTGAAAAATGTAAGACCTTGATGTAATGCATAATTAGTTTGTGTGTGTTTTGTTCATGTCCAGGAGAATTTGCTGTAAATTAGTGTTTTTCCATCTTTTACATAGTTAGTTATCTTGGGAAAGTAAATTGAGAGTTTAAAAAATTAAATACTAATACTTAACAATATACAGAATATCAATCTAAGAACAATTTTAAGAAACCATCATTAAAACCTTTGATTATGTTTCAGCTCTGTTATGAGTCATTTACGAGGTGAAGTCATGTTAAGATTCTGAAGGATGAGAAGGTCTGCTCATAAAGTATACTAATAAGTATTCAGCATAGAATCTAAACTTCCTCTCAAGACTAAAACAAGACAGGCAAAGTCTAAATTTTGTATACAAAATTCTAAACCAACCATTAATAAAATATTTAATACTTCTGTTGTCTTCCATACTTGTGTTTTGAGTTTATTACTAATCAATAAAGTGTACCACATTACATCAAGTCTCTTTTTGAAAAGTATCATAAACCAGGTACTAGAAGACTTCATGATATCTTGGGATGTGATACTGGTGGACCTGGAAGTCGAAGGCTCAGTGAACCTGGTCATACAGTTGCTGACTATTTAAAGTTCAAAGACCTAGTCTCCCAGATGTTGGATTTTGATCCAAAGAAACGTATCACTCCATATCACTGCCTCCAACATAGTTTTTTCAAAAGAACCAGAGATGAAAGCACCAACACATCTCCTGGCAAGATTTCATGTGTTGTTGTGGACCAAGTTATTGGAAATAGCCCAGGGTTTGGTTCTGTTGGGAAAGGAGTAATAGGCTCAACTTCTGAAAGTTCTGGTAGGTTCTCTTTCTTGTTTTTTCTACTTCTGTCATAGTGTGCTTTGAATATGTTTAACACATACAAACAATATCATAAATGTCGTATAGCATATCTTCTAACTGCAGAGTTAGAGGTTAAATGTCATTTAGAATTGAATTATAAAGTAAAACAGAGGTATTGAAACTTTGTTAGGGTAATATGTATCAAATTTATTCATTACTCAAATATAAACATATAATATTGATTATATTATTAAAAATCAAATAGCAAGAACTTATACCACTATTGAACAAAACAATATATATATATATATATATATATTATTATTCCTTAACTGTTATTCTCAGAATTTATCTTTTTCACATTAAAAACTAAAATATTCTCTACAGTTTTGTTTTATTGTTTGTTCTGTAAGTTAGATTTACAATAATAAGTGGGTTTTTGGGTATTTCAGGCTCTGCTGCTCATCCATGTGGCCGATTAGGCTTGGTTCAAACTCATCAGCACAGATACACTCAAACTTCAGAGTCATATTCTAGGATACAGTTTAGTAATAGTACTTCCATAGGCCCTGCTATAGATTCTTTGAGTCCAATCAATACAGGATTACCAAAGAGCCATTTGTGGGTCTCCTCATCTGGACTTGTTGGAAATCCTTCAGTGACAGCAACTTCAGGAGTGATAGGAGGGTCAGCTTCCATAAGTGAACACCTTTACTTCAATACACCTTCAAATGGCCACATTCTTTATAATGTTCATGGACCTAGTCACAGATTTCGAGGGCATCATCATAGCGGTTCCCATCAGTCACAGGGGCAGGGTAATATAAGTTCATTTTCCCATGTAGTTGTGGGACTAGACTCTGCCCAATCCTATCACTCTCAAGCTGGCCTAAACACTTCTTCCACTAGAGGGAATCATGTGTCATCATCTGCTGTGTCTTCCAATTTCATGGACTTCAATATTTACACTCAGTTAATGCCATCATCATTAGAGTGTACTCAAACTGGTTCAATGAATATGCAGCTTGGAAGCCACCAGCCCCTGTCAGTTTCTGGGGCTATATACAGAGAACAAATGGTGACCCCACCAGATTTCCAGTCTACAAATTTAACATTCTGTTGTGTTTCTCCATCTTTGGTAACTTCAGCAAAACCAGCAAGCTCATCATCAACTGAGAATCTGAGACAAAGCTCAGGAAGTGAAGAGTCTTCAATGGCGGGTATATGTGTAGAACAATCATCTGTCCCAAGTCACTGACAACTAGTTGTTTTTAGTAATATTTCAAAAAATGAAAACAAAAAATTGAGTTGCTGCAACTTAAGTAATTTTGATGAGATGCAGAATCATGACTCATATGTGTAGATCAAATAAAGAATATTACTTAAAATGTCAATATAAACAAAATGAAATACTTTTTCTGCATATATTTAATAATAATTGACTTTGGCCCACAGAAAGTGTACTCTGAAATTGGTTTTCAAGAGAATAACCTATTTTATTGAATCAGATTATGATTATCAAATGACTTATCAGTTTCAGTCACTAGCACTTCGGTTGGGGTTGAGCCAACTCATGATGGCGACAGTAGTAGACTTTGTTGGACCTGGTTCTCTCATGGCTGATTCTTTGTTCCCGACATATTAGTGAAAATATCGGTCACTGAGCTGCTTATACCAGTACTAAATGTAAATATATGATGCTATTTATTGTTTCTGGTGTGGGAAAAAGCTGCTACTTAAGCACCAGCTGAGCAAGGCAGGGAACTTAACACTGATTTACTTAGTTTACCATTTTCAGCAAACAGAAGTGTAAATACTCTTTCACCAGAATCATGTAGTTAACTTTCAGTGTAAACTCTGTGTATGAGATGAATAGTCCTTTCCTCTTCATGATTTAAGATGTACATACATATATATATATATATATATTTGTTGACACAAAACATTGTTAATCAGTCTTATCCGACTATGCATTGTAAATGTTATTTTGGAGATTTTAACTCCACATTTGCATAGCCTAATTTAGCAAAACTGGTCAAATTTAAGTTCCATCAGAAAATCCAGTTGTTTAATGTATCATTCCACATCATCATATTATCACTATTTGCTAAAATCTTTCATGATATTGATCAGATGAGTGTAACTACCAATGACAGTTCTTATTGGTGAAAGTATTGTCCACTTCATACCTAATAACACTATATTCAACTCTCATCATCAAAAAGTATTGTTATTTCTTTTCAGCAGATATCTTGTATGCTTTTATTCTTTTAAGATATATTTGTTATTATTATTTCAAATTGTACTTTTAGTTTTCTACATAGGGTCACATTTGTCAAAATTCAGTTAAAAAGAAAGAAAATAAGCCAATGTTTTTGTTTCACCATTGTGCCAATATTTAGAGTGCAACCATTTAGAAATGACAAAGTAACTTAGTTCCTAAATTGATCCCTCTTGTTGAGGCTTTTTATGTCAAAAAGTTCTATTTTATTTGATACAGTTTTAGCAATTTAGTTTCTTTTGATTTTGATGAATAAGCTGATTGTTATTTTTAAATCTGTGAATGTTTGTGGCCTCTATTTCACACATACAGATGTATTCATTGTTAAGTAAATACCTTGTCCAAAACCATGGCTTGTACTTTCTTTTTTCTACAATTCCTGAAATACAATATTTTGGAATAATGACATTTTGTCTAATAACTAAAACAAATTCGAAGTAAATTTTAATACATAGGTATTGTTCCTAGATTTAACCCATTTTTATGTAAAGTTATGAAACCTGTCACTGAATTTCATATCAATTTCACCATACGTAACTAGATATGTACGGTAAGTTTGTCAATATGGTCTGATTAGTCGAAATTTTAATAACAGTGTGAAATAAGTATTTGGAATTTTGAAGGAAGGATATCCATTTTGAAAGTCTTACATCAAGAGCATCTTTCTATTGACATTTGAAGAAAAACGGATTTTTAAAAATTTTTGGAAAAAACATAGGCTATGTCTTTGGTTTTTTCTGTGAAAATATGAATTTTTTGAAACATGGAAAAAGTGCTTTTTTCAGCCAAAACGAATAAAAAAATATAGGATAATGCTTATTTCGTAGTAAATCTCAAAATTGGGACACTATAGCATCAACAAAAAATTATATGTCCCGTGAAATACTCAAAGAAATAGAACTTTCGCTACCCATTGTAAAAATAATCCAAAACGTGGAGTTTATTTTGTAAGAAAATGTCATTGCCTTTTAGATGTTGAGATTTTGGATGAATAACCTTATTTCTAAAGCTCATCTTTTGTTTACTATATCTGAAGACAAACAAACATAAAAATAGAAGCTACTCGAAATTTTGATAACAGATTATGGAATAAGAATTGGGAATTTTGATAAAAGGGTATCCATTTTGAAAGTCTTACATCAAGGGCATATTTGTATTGAAATTTGAAGAAAACGAATTTTTAAAAGTATTCATATTTTAATACAAAGATGCCTTTGATGTAAGACTTTCAAAATAGAGATCCTTTTATCAAAATTCTCACTAGTTATTTCACAATCTCTTATCAAAATTTCGGTTAGTGTCGATTTTTACTGTTGTTGTTTTTTTTTGTCTTCAATTATATTATAAACAAAGAAGAGCTTTCAGAATAATATCATTCAAACAATATTCCAACATATAAAAGGCCATGACGTCTTCTTATCAAATACACTCATCCTTTTGATTTGCTTTTACTCTGGGTTAGTGAAAGTTCAATTTTTTTTAGCTTTTATAGTGACATAATG